AGCTTCCTGGAAAAGAACGCTACGGGATGTAGGAGTTCTTTGGTGCCTCTCCGCTGGGACAGGATGGAGCCCACTGCGTTCTCTGACGCATCTACTTCCAAGATGTATGGCAGGGAAGCATCTGGATGGCCCAGAATGGGTGCCGTAGTAAACAGTTTTCTTCAGGGCCTCAAAAGCTCCCTGGGCCTCCGGTGTCCATCGGAAACGGGTTCCAAGCTTGGTTAATTGAGTTATGGGGGAGACCAGACCCGAGAAGTTCCTAATGAATTTCCGATAGAAATTTGCGAACCCAACAAAACGCTGGACGCCCTTTTTATCCGTGGGCGCAGGCCAATCCAAAATTGCAGAGACCTTCTGAGGGTCCATCGCGACCCCCGTGGTGGAGATAATCAGACCCAAAAACGTGATGCTAGACTGCTCAAAGCTGCACTTGTCAGCCTTGGCATACAACCCATGCTGGCGCAACCTCCTTAATACCTCTGCCACGTGTATCCTATGATCCTTTAACGAGGGTGAAAAGATCAGTATGTCATCAAGGTATACGATTACAAAAATGTCGAGGTAATCCCTGAACACATCGTTCACGAAATGCTGAAATGTGGCTGGGGCATTGCACAGCCCAAATGGCATGACTAGGTATTCAAAGTGCCCAAACCGGGTACGGAATGCCGTCTTCCACTCGTCCCCCTCCCTTATGCGGACCAGGTTATAGGCCCCCCTCAGATCCAATTTAGTAAATATGGCCGCAGACTTCAGGCTCTGAAATAGCTCTGGGACCAGGGGCAAAGGGTAACGATTTTTAATCGTGACTTTGTTTAATTCACGATAATCGATGCAGGGTCTTAGTGATTTGTCTTTTTTCTCCACAAAGAAGATTCCCGCCCCTGCTGGTGACGTGGAGGGGCGGATGAATCCCTTTTGGAGACTATCCTCAATATATTCCTTCAGGGTCCCCAATTCACGTTCAGATAGGGGGAAAATCCGCCCAAAAGGAATCTCAGCCCCAGGCAACAGGTCGATGGGAGAGTCATAGGGGCGGTGGGGGGCAGGATCTCTGCCCCTCGCTTACTGAAACGTCCAAGAAATCATGATACACTGCGGGAATAACCTGTTTAAGGTCTGAGTCCCTTCAGAGCATAGCAGGACCTGGGGGGTTGCTGGGCCCGATGTGCGACAGTGTCCCTGACAGTATGGAGAAGGGAACTGTATAGAGCCAGTCTCCCAGTCAATCTGGGGGTTATGGGCCCGCAACCAAGGGAGCCCCAGAATGACTGGGAAAAGGGGTGACGCAATGGCATCCAGGCGGAGGAACTCCTGGTGCTGATTGGCGATTGTGGTGGCGATAAGGGGGGTCTCCTGATTAACCACTCCAGATTTAATCTGGGAGCCATCTGCCAAAAATATGTTAAGACCCCTCTTTCTGGGCTGAAGGGGAATCCCCTGCCGGGGGGCGAAGTCTAAATCTAAAAAACAACTGCACGCCCCCGAGTCAACTATGGCTGTCACCTCCACGATCCTTTCTGGGAGCTGAAAGGAGAGGGGGACAACCAAGTACTGGGAGGGAGGGACTGATATTGCCAATAGAAAGAGAAGAAAAAGAGGTTGACTTACTCATTTTCAGAGGGCAGGATCGCACCATATGACCGGCTTCGCCGCAGTAAAGGCAGAGGTTCAGGGATCTTCTCCGCTGGTGTTCCTCGGGTGATAATTTAGGCCGAGCCAGACCCAGCTGCATTGGTTCCTGAGTGTCTCTGGACGGTGGCTCTGAGTATTCAGTCTGGTTAGTGGACCGGGCCCCTGGACCGGAGCCCATGCATTTCCGTGACCCTGACCGGACCTCTCACATCTGCGTTCCCGCAGTCTCCGGTCGATTTGAATTGTCAGCGTAATAAGGTCTTCTAAGGACTCGGGTACCCCTACTCGGGCCAGCTCATCTTTCAGGGATTCCGAAAGACCCATACGGAACTGGTGCCGCAGAGCGACCTCGTTCCAGCGTGTGTCCCCCATCCAGCGTCTAAATTCTGAGGCATACTCCTCCGCCGCCCTGCGGCCCTGTCTAAGCGTGTATAGCGTTGCTTCGGCGGAGGCTGCCCGCTGTGGGTCATCGTACAAGGTGGCCATTGCCCCAAAAAAGTCATTTACCGTCCCCAGGTGAGGGTCACGGTTTTCCCTTAACCGATGGGCTTAGTCCTGGGGTTCGTCCTGTAATAGGGAGATGATAAATCCCACTTTAACCGATTCTGTCACGAAGGTGCGGGGTTGTAACTCAAAAAATAGGAGGCATGAATCACGAAAAGACCGGAAGCGAGTGCGGTCTCCGCGAAAACGTTCCGGCAAGGGCACTCGGGGTTCTGCCATAGCAGGTGAAGCAGACGCCCCCATGGCCGGCTCAGCAGCCTCTCCAGCTGGAGGCGCAGAGTCAGAGGCCTGTGGGGTAGGATCAGATACCGAGAGGGTCTGGAAGCGGTTTTCCAGATGCATGCACTTGTCCTGCAAGGCCGCTATACCCTGTGTCAGGGCCGAAAGGTGCCTGTAAATCTCATCCAGCGGGGCGGACCCTCCTCCAGGCTCAGTCATGGCCTTCTGGTACTGTAAGGGACCGCCTGGCGGTACCACTAGCACTCCACTGATTAGGCGCTCTCAGAGCACGGAGTCTAAGCCCCAGAGTACTTGTTCACCAGAGCCCCTGATGGTGGGGATGGACTTGGAGTACCCCGAGACCAGGTCGTGGCTCCTGAGAACGCCTGTCAGTGGTAGGGGTATTCGCCAGGGGCTCCCACGGGGAAGAGCCTGATGTGAGGAGGTCAGGAGACCCCGGTGGGATGGATGGATGGATGGATGAGCAGGTGCCAAGTCAGACAAGCCGGGTCGGTAACAGTGGGGTCGGTGCGGTACCAAAGCAGCGGGCAGAGAATAGTCGGGTCACACGCCAGGTCAGCAACAGGAGGTCAGATCTAGTAAGGGTCACCCAAGAGAGAGGTCAGGCAAGCCAGGGGTCAGAGTGGGAGAATACAGCAAGGGTCAGGTCCAATCCGGGTCAGCAACTTACAGGAAACAGAATCACAGGTACAGGTATGCAGAAGAGACCAGAAGGCACTGAATGACAGCTCAGGGCCGTTTAAATATCGCGCCCTGCTTTGTCATTGGTGCCCGGCGCGCGACCGCGGTTCCTACTGCGCATGCGCAAGCCTGAATGCCGCGGTCGGCCAGGAACTGGTGCCCGCGTCCCTGCAGAGAGCGGCGCACTGCGCCTGTGCCGGGACCAGCGCCGCGGGGATCCCTGACATTTCCCTTCACTTCCTGTCCCATAGCCAAATAGGAAGTGAGAGGAAATCCCTAAAAATTAAAGGAATTCCATGGGGACCCCCCCCAGGTCACCAGAACTAGTGTCCCCATTGGAAGTTTTCACCTCTAATAATTTTCTGGAGACGACCCAAAATTTGGGATTTCCATTCACTTCCAATGATAATGGTAAACAGAACAAATAGAGAGGATGAGTCTCCCTACCGGGGACACAGCAATGAAAACCAACAGGGGGTCTAATTTACCTCCACTCCATCCAAAACTAAAAAAAATGTGCCTTTAGTTATACTTTAGGAAAATGAAGATACTCCTAGGAATCCTCTGATGGTTGTGGGGATTCTCCTGGGTTTACCTTGTAAGCGTTAGAAGGGGAATCACCGGGGCCTAGGAGGGGCCTACATCCCCAGAAGAGGAAATCTCGTCTTTGCTGAATTGGACGTACCAAGAGAATTTATACACTGAAAAACTGAAGGACTCCACACTGCTATGGGCATGGGAGAATGTGGGAAAAGTAGATGGGGAAATAGGTAACCCAGATGGAAGGGTTGTCCTCCCATACTTCACCATGGAGAGGGACCCATTATACTGGGTGTCACGGAGGGCGGAGGAAACCTTTTAGCACTGGTGATGCCCAAACCTTACCAAACTCTAGTACTAGAATTGACAAATGGACACATTCTTGGGGGCATTTGGGAGTTGAAAACACCCGGGAGATTATAGTACTGAGGCTCTATTGGCCTGAGGTCACCAAAGAAGTGGATGTGTACTGTTAATTCCTCTCTGGTGTATCAGAAATCTGCACCAATACCACATTTCAATATCCCTTTGGTCTCCCTCCCCGTCACTGAGGTCCCTTTCCAGAGAATCCCCATGGATGGTCGATCCTTTGTTGAAATCCACTAGAGAGCATCAACATGCCTTGGTGATAATGGACTATGCCACCCATTACCCAGAACACGTAGAGTTCCTATCTGTATATTTAATGGGCATGAAAACCTGATACAAGTGTTTTTCATCAAGATTGGTAAATACAATTTGTCCTCAGCACATCGGCTTGTGTTTTTCAGCTCCTGTCACCTCCATGATTCAGGCTGCTGTGATTGTAGCGTTAGGAATCATCTGATTCTAATCACCAGCCCTGCGGAGAGCCACAAATATCTGTCATTACAGTGAATGGGCCGGCGGCCGCACCTAGCCGCTCACAACCTCAGTAGGAATGAGAAGATTCCTGCCGCTACAATCTGCACCGGCCTAAACCACCAATCACCCGTGTGATCGTAGCCGAACGGTTGTGTGATGAAAAGACATTTTATTGTTTGAGAAGCAGAACTAAATCTTTTTTTTTTTAATTCCTTTTTGGTTTTTATGAGCAGGGCCCTCAATCCTCTTGTTTTGATGGTCTTGTAGCTGTACTGTTGGCGCTCTATGAGTAGAATACATTGAATGTGACTGTGTGGTCACTATGGACCCTAGAGTGGTCCTTCACTGACAGGAAGCCTCCACATGTCAGAGGGACGTCTGGTCCCCACATACAGTACATATACAATGTTCATCTCCGTATTGTCCCCGAGTGCCGTCAGTGCATAATGAATGATAACCTGGGAGCTTTATACTTCTCATCCTTTCGTACATTTGTTCTTTTCAATAAAAAGATTGGAATATACATGAATCCTCCAGAATGACTGTTGACTCCTTACCTTTCTTTACAAATCTGAAGTAGAGGAAAGCCAACAAACCCAGAAATAATGTACACAGGATTGTCAGGACCACAGCGGTGATAATGGCTCCGGCGTTATCTCCTCTCTCTGTAAGGAGAAAGGACAAATCACAATCTGGATGTAGAATCCACATAGGAGAACTTTGGTTTGTTTTTAAGACAACACAGACAGTTTGTTTTACACACACTGGAGCCTAATATGGAGAAGGAGAACCCATACAGTAAGGTAGACCATACATGAGTCAATTTCATTCCACCCACTGGACATTCGAGGTGGATGGGGGAGTCCTCCCAACTGAGCTATTGTATTCTGATGGCAGGGAGACTTCCATTGATACATTGATCAGCAGTGCCCCCTATAGCCTGCAGTGCTGATTGAGCGAGGAAAACCCAACAGGGTGGTTGTACAGAAGTCAGTCGGTGAATCAACTTCTGTACAACCTCCTGCACATACATGGATGAAAATTTGGTCACTTCCTGCTGAAACAGCTGAATTTTGATCCATGTGTGGCTGACGTAGGTACAGAACCCACACAGCAACAAAACGTATGTCAGGATGATATTAAAGGTGTGGGTACTATTACCGCGTCCTCCTACAGGTGGACCTCCATGGAGTGCCGTACTGCCAGGATCTCACCTGCTGAGCTGTGATAGATGTGATGTGGTGCCAAAATCGGCAAATACCTAAGATCTGACGGTCAGTGTGATACAATGTCTGTATTTACTCCAGTTCTCTTCTTCCTGGAATAGACACCATCTCAGGATATTTGATTTTGAACATGGATCTTCAGAGTCCGAGATCCTTTACACGAGTGAGGGCTGAGGATGGTATTTGGTTCTGGATATGAACCTTCAGAGGCCGAGATCCTTTACATGAGTGAGGGCTCAGGATGATATTTGGTTTTGGACATGGATCTTCAGAGGCCGAGATCCTTTACACGAGTGAGGGGGTTTCCTAGTGTCTACCTGATGCTCTGTCCCGTGTTGTCTGGATGTCCTCGTTATAATGGGTTCCTGGTGATGCTATTAGCCATGTTATTTATAGGGCTGTATCAGAGGTAGGACTACGGGTTACTTTACATAATAAATGGTTGCCAAGTACCAAGGAACTTGTATCAAATGGTAAGACAAACTGTTAAATATACTATATGGGCAAAAATATTTGAACCCCCCCAAAGATAGGTTTCAGGTGTCTCCATTGAATTAAAAGCTTGCCCGCTGCCCTATAGTAGAAGTACTGCTACAGGGTAGCAGGGCTGCGCACAGTCATGTATATACAGTCAGGTCCATAAATATTGGGACATCGACACAATTCTAACATTTTTGGCTCTATACACCACCACAATGGATTTGAAATGAAACGAACAAGATGTGCTTTAACTGTAGACTGTCCGCTTTAATTTGAGGGTATTTACATCCAAATCAGGTGAACGGTGTAGGAATTACAACAGTTTGCATATGTGCCTCCCACTTTTTAAGGGACCAAAAGTAATGGGACAATTGGCTTCTCAGCTGTTCCATGGCCAGGTGTGTGTTATTCCTCATTATCCCAATTACAATGAGCAGATAAGAGTTAATTTCAAGTGTGCTGTTTGCATTTGGAATCTGTTGCTGTCAACTCTCAAGATGAGATCCAAAGAGCTGTCACTATCAGTGAAGCAAGCCATCATTAGGCTGAAAAAAACAAAACAAAACAAACCCATCCGAGAGATAGAAATAACATTAGCCATGGCCAAAACAACTGTTTGGAACATTCTTAAAAAGAAGGAACGCACCGGTGGGCTCAGCAACACCAAAAGACCCGGAAGACCACGGAAAACAACTGTGGTGGATGATCGAAGAATTCTTTCCTTGGTGAAGAAAACACCCTTCACAACAGTTGGCCAGATCAAGAACACTCTCCAGGAGGTAGGTGTATGTGTGTCAAAGTCAGCAATCAAGAGAAGACTTCACCAGAGTGAATACAGAGGGTTCACCACAAGATGTAAACCATTGGTGAGCCTCAAAAACAGGAAGGCCAGATTAGAGTTTGCCAAACGACATGTAAAAAAGCCTTCACAGTTCAAAAAACCAAAAACAAAACAACAAAACAACAAAAATAAAACAAAACAATACTGGAACAACATCCTATGGACAGATGAGACCGACATCAACTTGTACCAGAGTGATGGGAAGAGAAGAGGATGGAGAAGGAAAGGAACTGCTCATGATCCTCAGCATACCACCTCATCAGTGATCATGGTGGTGGTAGTGTCATGGTGTGGGCATGTATGGCTGCCAATGGAACTGGTTCTCTTGTATTTATTGATGATGTGACGGCTGACAAAAGCAGCCGGATGAATTGTGAAGTGTTTCGGGTAATATTATCGGCTCATATTCAGCCAAATGCTTCACAACTCATTGGACGCTTCACAGTGCAGATGGACAATGACCCAAAGCAGACTGCAAAAGACACCAAAGAGTTTTTTTAAGGGAAAGAAGTGGAATGTTCTGCAATGGCCAATCACCTGACCTGAATCCGATGGAGCATTTCACTTGCTGAAGACAAAACTGAAGGGAAAATGCCCCAAGAACAAGCAGGAACTGAAGACAGTTGCAGTAAAGGCCTGGCAGAGCATCACCAGGGATGACACCCAGCGTCTGGGGATGTCTATGCGTTCCACACTTCAGGCTGTCATTGACTGCAAAGGATTTGCAACCAAGTATTAAAAAGTGAAAGTTTGATTTATGATTATTATTCTGTCCCATTACTTTTGGTCCCTTAAAAAGTGGGAGGCACATATGCAAACTGTTGTAATTCCTACACCGTTCACCTGATTTGGATGCAAATACCCTCAAATTAAAGCTGACAGTCTTCAGTTTAAGCACATCTTGTTTGTTTCATTTCAAATCCATTGTGGTGGTGTAAAGAGCCAAAAATGTTAGAATTGTGTCGATGTCCCAATATTTATGGACCTGACTGTATACGTGATTTTGTATTTCCGGGCAGGGGGCACACACACACGTCGCCATTGGCAGGTAGAGATGTCAACCCCCGGGTACCGGCTGGCGATTCCCTGTCAGCACTCGGTGATCATTGTGGAAAGCTGACAGGGGAGAGGTCTGTATGTAAACAACACAGTTCTCTCCCCTTCCAGCAGGACATGCTGCTTTGTATCTCTCTGCACAGCATGTCTCCCTAGTAACACAGCACACAGGTAACCCTTTGATGGCCCCAGATGTTAACCCCTTCCTGCCCAGTGCCATTAGTACAGTGTCAGGGCTTTTTATTAGCCCTGACCACTGTATTGGTGTCACTGGGGATGTCAGTGGCAATAAGTTTGTTCCCCCCCCCCCCCCCCCCCGAGTGTCAGAATGCCCACCGCAGTCCCGCTATATGTCACTGATCGCCGCCATTACTAGTATAAAAAGAATTAAAATCCCAGTATCTATCCCGCCATTTATAGACACTATAACCTTCTTGTAAACCACGTATTGGGATTTTTTTTTAGCAGACACGCAGCAGAATACATTTTGGCTGAAATCTATGAGGAAATTTGATTTTTAAACATTTTTTTACTGGACATGTTTTATAACAAAATAAAAAATATTGTTTTTTTTCTCAAAATTGTCAGTCTTAATTTGTTTATAGTACAAAAAATAAAAACAGCACAGGTGATCAAATGCCACCGAAAGAAAGCTCCATTTGTGGGGAAAAAAAGATCAATTTAATTTGGGTGAAGTGTTGCACGACTGTGCAATTGTCAGTTAAAGTTACGGAGCGCCGTATCACAAAAAATGGCCTGGTCAGGAAGGGGGGGGGGGGATCCTCTGGAGGGCAAGGAGTTAATACTCCATCATACATACAGTCAGGTCCATAAATATTGGGACAAGGACACAATTCTAACATTTTTGGCTCTATACACCACAATGGATTTGAAATGAAACGAACAAGATGTGCTTTAACTGCAGACTGTCAGCTTTAATTTGAGGGTATTTACATCCAAATCAGGTGAACGGTGTAGGAATTACAACAGTTTGCATATGTGCCTCCCACTTGTTAAGGGACCAAAAGTAATGGGACAATTGGCTTCTCAGCTGTTCCATGGCCAGGTGTGTGTTATTCCCTCATTATCCCAATTACAATGAGCAGATAAAAGGTTCAGAGTTCATTTCAAGTGTGCTATTTGCATTTGGAATCTGTTGCTGTCAACTCTCAAGATGGGATCCAAAGAGCTGTCACTATCAGTGAAGCCATCATTAGGCTGAAAAACAAAACAAACCCATCAGAGAGATAGCAAAAACATTAGGCGGCCAAAACAACTGTTTGGAACATTCTTAAAAAGAAGGAACGCACCGGTGAGCTCAGCAACACCAAAAAGACCCGGAAGACCACGGAAAACAACTGTGGTGGATGAGCGAAGAATTCTTTCCCTGGTGAAGAAAACACCCTTCACAACAGTTGGCCGGATCAAGAACACTCTCCAGGAGGTAGGTGTATGTGTGTCAAAGTCGCCAATCAAGAGAAGACTTCACCAGAGTGAATACAGAGGGTTCACCACAAGATGGAAACCATTGGTGAGCCTCAAAAACAGGAAGGCCAGATTAGAGTTTGCCAAACGACATGTAAAAAAGCCTTCACAGTTCTGGAACAACATCCTATGGAGAGATGAGACCGACATCAACTTGTACCAGAGTGATGGGAAGAGAAGAGTATGGAGAAGGAAAGGAACTGCTCATGATCCTAAGCATACCACCTCATCAGTGATCATGGTGGTGGTAGTGTCATGGCGTGGGCATGTATGGCTGCCAATGGAACTGCTTCTCTTGTATTTATTGATGATGTGACGGCTGACAGAAGCAGCCGGATGAATTGTGAAGTGTTTCGGGAATATTATCGGCTCATATTCAGCCAAATGCTTCACAACTCATTTGACGCTTCACAGTGCAGATGGACAATGACCCAAAGCAGACTACAAAAGCAACCAAAGAAGTGGAATGTTCTGCAATGGCCAAGTCCATCACCTGACCTGAATCCGATTGAGCATGCTGTCACGTACCTGATGGGAGACTGAATTGACGAGGTCGGCCTCACTTGTGTCGCTAATC